TGTCGGGTCAGATATTCCACAAGGTTGTAACTAGATGTGTTTTCACCGTGTCGGGTCGGATATTCCACAAGGTTGTAACTAGATGTGCTTTCACCATGTCGGGTCGGATATTCCACAAAGTTGTAACTAGATATGCTTTCACAGTGTTGGGTCAGATATTCCACAAGGTTGTAATTAGATGTGCTTTCACCGTGTCGGGTCAGATATTCCACAAGGTTGTAACTAGATGTGCTTTCACCATGTCGGGTCGGATATTCCACAAAGTTGTAACTAGATATGCTTTCACAGTGTTGGGTCAGATATTCCACAAGGTTGTAATTAGATGTGCTTTCACCGTGTCGGGTCAGATATTCCACAAGGTTGTAACTAGATGTGTTTTCACCATTGAACATTTCTGGCTTCTAAAGCTTAAATTTATTATTCTTGAATTTTTCTACTTCTATATTTATCGTTCAACTACTTGGTTTGGTTTTGGCAGTTTCTTGTTTATGGGCTATTAGTGATTATATGATGTGGTATGTGTACTGTTGGCTGATATTCTGTTAAGTGCTTGTTGTATGTATTGAAGAACTACATAATTGTGTTTTCTCTTTTCATTGGTTCTTGTAGTGTGTGGCTGAATGTGTCCGTTTCTTTGGTTGGATGGTGTATGCCGCTGAATAACTCCATGCTAGAGCATTGGCCTTGATAGCCAGATGTTATTGGTTGAACTCCCATTTCTGGAGTCTTTTGATGATTGTACTGATGATAAAGCCTTATAGGTGAACAAAGATGAGAAATGGCTTGGGCCACTGGTTAGCTCAGTGCTAGAGCACTGACCCCCAATAGTCAGATGTCCTAGGTTCAAGTCTCAGTTTGTATTCTTTTTTCTGCTTTATATTCACTTTTGTTGTTCTACTAGTCTGTCTTTGTACTCTTTCTAAAATGAGATAACAATAGTTCTCATGGTCTTAACTTCAAAACTTTTATATGTTCCTCTTATAACCTCTAAAAGTTTTCCACACTTATAAGCAATTATACCCAAATTCTTTATTACAGAACTGTCTCTCAAACATTTTTTTTACAAATTAAATACTTTGAATTGACCCACTTTATACACTTGAACATTAACTAGGAAGAAATTCATTCACTAAGACTATGTAAGTTTCAAGAAATGCACTCCCCGCAGTTGTTTTCTTCAGTATATATACCATCAACAAATCAGTGTTAATGCATCAGTAGCTATCTAAAAATATGTAAAATAAAATGTTGCAAGAAATTCTTAAGTAGGTTTTTTTTTTAAATAAGTTCTTATTACACTTTTTATTTCCATCGGTTCTTATCTTTCAAAAGAAACAAAAAAAATCTGTTTTCAACATTGGGTATTTTATGGAAATCTTTCAGGTAATTGAGTAACAGTAATCACCCTTTAGCTGCATACCTTTTTCAGACACATCACTCTCAAAATCATTGACAATTCAGGTTAGAATCATCATCAGATTGCACAAGTTCAAGTGTCTCCAAGTGTGAAAACATTGGAGCTATTTGATGCCGTTTTAGGTTCATTTTGTCGTAAAAATTAAATTTTCAGCTGCAGATATCACCAATGTTTTGAATAGAAATATACACCATGTCGGATATGATTAGGTGGCTGAGATCATCTGTGCAGATTAGGCTTTGTTGATTTTGTGTTCTTGATTTGTATTCTCGTGGGAAATTTTAATTTCATTACGTGGTTGCCATATGGTGATGGGTGTTCCTAAAGGGTTAACTGAGGTTTCCTGATGTGCGAGAAAGCTGGTTAAGGCACAGAGGAGATTGTCAGTAAATAATTGTTTAAAAATTGTTTTTAAACATGAATGTGAACAATCTTGGTTCAAAATACATCAACACTAACTTTATCCAAACTCAAATGTTCTTATAATATTAGTAGTCATGACAACTTTAATGATACAAAGACTGGAAAGATAAATACATATAGTTAACTGTACATATTACCGTTTTGTCCCATCTGGATAACTTTCTCACCAAACATGTTGCATTTTTCCTTAAAGAAAATTTTTCTATTGGTAGCTTATGAAGGAATAAATTACACAGTTAAATGTTTTAACCTTCTGTATGTTGCATGTGACTGTAATTTGGAGAAAATATTTTGATATGTTTTGTGTAAAGGAAGCAAATACAAATGTTTATTTTATATAGCAGTGTGCTGATTGTTGATTTTTATCAGTAGTATCCTTAAGTAATTATAACCATAGTTAATTTTTTTACGTTATCTTGGACTGTCACTTTTCATGTACTAAAGCACTTCATGTATTTGGGAGTGAAATTTCAGCTGTAGTTTCTTGTATTTCATCAGTTCAAGAAATACTTGTAAAGTATTTAAATGTTACTTATCCTCCAGTGTTAGACTCCTATATTAAGTTAATAGATCCAAGATTGTTAAAGTATGGTTAGAATGTTAACGGACATTTGACAAACAAATATCTGTATGAACTTTAACTTCCACAGAAGATATTCCAACTGCTTACTGGAAGGACCTTGCTGAAGAGAGAAGGAAAGCTTTGGAGGAGGCCTTGAAAGAAAATGAATCTGTAAGTTGGTTTTATTGGATTTTCCATTTCTTGCATCTCATGTAGGTGAGTTAGACTTATCACAACTTTTTATTGAAGACAAATATAAAATTAACATATTTGTTGCCACCAGTAGTATTAATAATTCCTAACCTAGTGTCAAACACACTTTTCTATTTTTGCTTAACCCAGGCGTATAATATTTGTTTAATTAGCTCATTGAAGCCACTTGTACTATGTGACGTACTAGTGTGTCGCACAGTCCATAACTAAGTTGGTTGTGACTCTTGTGGGGCATGTAGCAGCAAATGTGTTTAAGATTTAACATTAGAGAGGAGACCATCTTCACAAAGTAATCCACTATTTTGCAAAACAGTTTACATTGCCTTGACTACTTGATGTTAAAATAAGTTCTGAACATAAGTGTAATACAATAATATGTTAACTGTATATTAAGAGGTTCATTCTGTATTTTGACAGTATCCTCACATCTCAAAATATTCATCGATCTTGTGTACATCTTCAGTATTTTCAGTTAATATAAGTCAACTGATCATTAATAAATGGTTTTTAATTCAGCTGCACATACAACTGGAAGTTCTTGAAGAAGAAAATACTCAGCTTAGAGAAATAGTCGACCTTGCAAAGGGACTAGCAGAGACAGTGGAGGTGAGTCAGTTTTGTGCTTTACTTAAACTGTATTGTGAATTAATATAACAAAGCATTGTCTATGTTAACTTCAACATGATACTTCTTTGGATACAGGTCGATTCAACCGTATTTACAAGATAGGACAGAACCACCCTTTTTAAATGTATTTATTTTTGACGTCCTTCGATGCAATACATTAAAAAAAATTTAAAGAGTATTTTGATATAATTCTGCAGAAACATAACTTACTAGTTTGTTAAAAGTAAAAATAAATTGAAATTTGATAACTCTAGAATTGGACAGCAGTAGAATGTAAAACAGGCAGTTGCCGTCCATTCTACAAAGTTTCATCATGAATAATTTGCCTGAACAACCAAAGAAATTGAAATTTGATGGGTTTAATCTTCGTTATGTATTCATAGTGTTGTAAGGGGTTTAATCTCCGTTATGTATTCATAGTGTTGTAAGGGGTTTAATCTCCGTTATGTATTCATAGTGTTGTAAGGGGTTTAATCTCCGTTATGTATTCATAGTGTTGTAAGGGGTTTAATCTCCGTTATGTATTCATAGTGTTGTTTTAATCTCCGTTATGTATTCATAGTGTTGTTTTAATCTCCGTTATGTATTCATAGTGTTGTTTTAATCTCCGTTATGTATTCATAGTGTTGTTTTAATCTCCGTTATGTATTCATAGTGTTGTTTTAATCTCCGTTATGTATTCATAGTGTTGTTTTAATCTCCGCGATGTATTCATAGTGTTGTTTTAATCTCCGCGATGTATTCATAGTGTTGTTTTAATCTCCGCGATGTATTAGTGTCAAAACCTTGGTATTTGTCAGTTGATAGACATTCATGTGAAGTTAATGTGTATTTGATTCTTTTATAATTGGTACTAACAAATAGTTATTGATGTTTTTATTATTGAATTTCAGGGTATAACAGAATAAGACTTGTTAGCATAATGTGGAACCTCAAAGCACTTTTGTGAATTTGATTAAAAGGTTGTTCAGTTTCCCTCTGAACCAAGTTGCCATTTTACTCAACAAAGCATTCCAGGTCATCACAGCATCATTTCTCATCTTCTACGTTGAAGCTGGTACAAAAGCTGATTTTAAGATAATTACATTACTATAGAAGAACCTTGTGACAAGAATTCTGAAAAATTGTGCGAGATATTGTTAAAATGGTCTCTTTAATGCCTGAAATTTATGCCGTGTTAAGGTATATACAGTTGAGAATGGCCTTAAGTTTTTCAGTTTGTGAATTTTTTCTGTCTTGCTTTGTATTCATATAAGTGTTTGATTTCTTTATACTATTTTTTTATTTCCAATACGTAGACTAGTTTGTAAAACGTAAATGTAATTAATCTTGGTATTTACGATCTGGAATTGTTTGGTAATACAAGTTATGTAGATAATTTTCTTTTTGTTAATTTAAATTCCATCTACAAAAATACAGTTGAATGTTTCATTGAAAGGTTTTCCTTTTAGATGTAAAAAATTAAAATTATTATGAACACAATACCAAATGTCTTGTAATTATGCTAATTAGCTACATACGGAGAATGTTCATTAAGCTATAAGTAAATCGGATTTTGGGCTAAATTAGATATGCTAGATAAACCTTCCACTAACCTTCATTTGACCTGTTATGCCATGCTCTGGGACTTTTAAGTTTTTCAGATTTTGGGCTAAATTAGATATGCTAGATAAACCTTCCACTAACCTTCATTTGACCTGTTATGCCATGCTCTGGGACTTTTAAGTTTTTCGTCCATTTTTATTATTTTTGATTACCAAGAGTTTTTTCCCTAAGTGCCCTAGAAAAATACAATATGCCTCATAACATACGATAGAAGATTATGGGATGCCCTAGAAAAATACAACATACCTCATAACATACGATAGAAGATTATGGGATGCCCTGGGGCACAGTATGCCCTAGAAAAATACAACATGCCTCATAACATACGATAGAAGATTATGGGATGCCCTAGGGCACAGTATGCCCTAGAAAAATACAATATGCCTCATAACATACGATGGAAGATTATGGGATGCCCTGGGGCACAGTATGCCCTAGAAAAATATAACATGCCTCCTAACATATGATGGAAGATTATGGGATGCCCTAGGGCACAGTGTGCCCTAGAAAAATATAACATGCCTCATAACATACAGTGGAAGATTATGGGATGCCCTGGGGCATGGTATAATGGTTCATTTATTGTGTTTACATTTTATACTGTATCTTGTTCAGGACTAGTCAGAATTACAGTTGCTAGGGTGGTATAGGTATGAAAAGAACAGCCCAACCAAGTTGGGTGTAGATCATTTATACTGTGAAACTGTATATCAGAAATATATTAAAAATAAAACTTCAGTAGAAGAAAGTAAGCGGGGAAAAAATAACTGATACCATTACAAAAGAAGTATCATTATAGTATCAGATCAGTATGTAATTGGTTGCCTGCAAGTTCTCTTGCTTGTATTCTTTAAGAAAAACTCTTGAATATTTATTAATTGTATTGGTCTTTGAATAATTTTTTATAAAATTGTTTTGTAGTGATTCTTTTTTTCCTCATGAAAAATCATGAACTTAGCTAGATTATTCTCCTTCTCGTGTGTGTGTGTTTGTCATTGTAATTTGAGTTTCTATATTTAAATTTGTACAAAATTGAGGAAAACTGAACATATTTCAAGTTGGTATGTTTTTCTTGTTAAAGTATCTGACCACTGGACTTGACAATCTTGTTTTGTCCGTTTTAAGTTACTTCATGGACTTGGATGTATATTTCTTTGAATGAAGGGAACGTTCGTAGCACTTGTATCTTTTTAACTTGTTACAATGAAAGTCATTTTAAATTTTGTACTTAGATTTATTAAAATGTCCACAAATTACTGTAATAAAATCTTGAATTTATTTGTTGAGTTTGAGTCAACAAAATAAAAAAAACTAAGGCAGAACCAAGAATGTACAAATTTGGTAAAGACACCAGACTAAATCCAGTATGATAAACAAATATTATAGATGTATAATAATTAAAACATTTTACGGTAAGTTCCAGCTGATGAGTATTAAAGTTGCTGAGCAGTAAACATGATAGTTATTTAAAATATGAATATCGATAACTAGCACTTAAATGTAGAGTTCTGAAAAACATTGATTTTAGTAAAAAAAAAAAATATGCAACAAACTTAACCAACATGAAACATTAAGTATATGACTTTGTAATATGCCTATCATGGAGACTGTCTTTTTAAAGAAATGTTAAGTTTTATACTACATTTATTATTTTAAAGGGCCCGGCATGGCCAGGTGGTTAGGGCGCTCGACTTGCAATCTGAGGGTCGTGGGTTCGAATCCCCTTCCCACCAAACATGCTTGCCCTTTCAACCGTGGGGGCGTTATAATGTGTCGGTCAATCCCACTATTCGTTGGTAAAAGAGTAGCCCAAGAGTGTTTGGCGGTGGGTGGTGATGACTAGCTGCCTTCCCTCTAGCCTTACACTGCTAAATTAGGGATGGCTAGCGCAGATAGCCCTCGTTTAGCTTTGCGCGAAATTCAAAACAAAAACAAATTATTTGAAAGCTCACTATTGTAGCAAGTGTTCTTTATAACTGTTTCTAAACTTCCTTATGATCTGTGGTGTAACTTTGGAATGTTAAAGCTGTATGTGACACAACAAAACTATTTAGTTTTAGTAAACAAATCTCTGCAGCCCCTGGTCTAAATCAAGCGTGATAGGACTTGCAAAGTTTTGATAAGAACGTGCAACTGGTAGAAATAAAAGTTAAAACTAAGTATTCTATAAAACTAAACTCACAACTGGAAAAAAGTTTGAAGTTTTTGGGAAGAATAAATTGTAGTGAAAGCCATACAGGATGATTCAATAACTTTAATCACTGGTTAGGCTGTAGCCGTTCTGTCTGGACAAACTTGTATGAACAAGATAATGAGAAAATTTTGGTGAAGCCATTTATACCATATGTACAATAAGTCGAAGAACTGGCGATTTGGCATAGATCGTAGGATACAGTGTAAAGGCTTATTTATTTTAATTCATTTTCCAATACATATATGTGATGTTATATATTCATGCTACTTTGGCAACATTTAAACAGATTTTGACCTACTTTAAATGAACAGCACGCACTTCACTTGTTTTCAATACATATATATTTAGAACAAGTTAAACGTATGTACAACAAAGTATTCACACTATAGTTCTTGTTGTCAAAATCCACTTAGGCTTATTCTATTACTTTAGACTTTCATTTGACAGGCCGAACTACCTTTTCTATTACTATCGTACTAGTATTGTGTGTGATTCATTTATAACTGTGGCACGAGTTACCGTAACTGTTTGGTCTTCTTTCTTCAAAATATCCTCTGTTCCTTTTGTCAAAGTGGTGCACTCGGGCTGATTCAGTTACTGTAGAACCACGCTTTGACGAAATAAATTATTATTCTTATCTTCTTT